CAACACTCACACCAAAAAAACAAAACAAAAACATCAGATGTTGCAAAAGAAACTTTTGCATAGAAACCCCTCCTCTGTGTTATTGTTATTATTATTATTGTTGTTGTTGTCTGCAAGGAGAGGAAGTGTCCTCTCTCTCTCATTATTTTTGTTTTTCTGTATTTTTTTAATCACTTCCATCGTTTCTTCTCGTCTCCTTCCTTAAACCCTGATGAGGATGATGTCGTAGGAGGAAGACAAGGAACCTGAGCATGACGAGGACCAGCGAAGCTGCTTCGCCCCCCGTTGCTGTTGCTGCTCGGGGTCCAGAGTGGTTCTGGTTCCGGGTGAATTGTTGTCACGTGTAATTTGCTACCACGGTGTAAACCAAGCAGTCACGCCATAATCCCCCCCACCCCACCCCCTTTTTCCTCCTCTTTCACTCTCTCTCTTACACACACACACACACACTTGAACCGCAGCTCCAACTCTGCCCCCACTGAGTGGCACCTCTCCCACACCCCCACCCCTCCATCGTCCGTGGGGCCACCACATATTCACCGTGAAAACGGATTACAGTCGGTGTGTGACCTATAGGGGGACCTTGTGCTTAATGAATATATTGGTTTCAATGAAGGGAGGGGAGGGGAAGGGGGGGGGGGGGGGGGGGGGTCTGTCCTTGCATTTATGTTAATAAAAATGCTTCTACTTCTCAGTATGTGAGTGGGGGGGGTATTACCCGAAACAACACATGCATGATTCATCATTTTGTGTATGTGCGCATTACCTCCAGAATAAAAAGTGTGAGATAACTGTGCAGGTTTGAAGTGAAAATGATCAAAACGTGTGTTTTTTATGGCTTTTTTTCTTTTCTGGAAATAAAAACAAGAACATTTCGCAGCACATTACCCGCTGTTGCTTTTTCTTTTGGCTTTCTTTCTTTCTTTTTTCTGTTGTTCCTCCTTCCTGAAGTTGAATTGTTGCCCCAGAAAAATCAATAAGTGGGAAATTCACTTGGGTTTTAATGGTTTTTAATGTCCGACGCCTAAATTGGAGCTCTGCAGTTCTGCAGCTGCCCGCCTCAGGCGTGACTGCTGATTACCGAGATTATAATCCTAATTTTCTCTCCCAGCCTCAGTGTGTGTGTGTGTGGGAGAGAGAGAGGAGGCCCACTTTTAGTTTTTTTCGACGGTGTAAACACACAAAGACAGCAGTGCAGAGGCTTCTGCAGGAACGTCTCGCAGTATTTGGAGGATCTGTCGGTCTAATTACGGCTTCTGTTTGTGCGACTGCTGAGCAGTCGGGTTACGCTCACTGTCAGCTGCTGTTACAAAAAAAAAAGAGAGAGAAAAAACCCTCCGTGTTAATAATAACAAACGTCACTCATAGAATGCAATTTTGAGATCACAGGCGGCGAACGGGGGAGGTCAGAGGTCAAAGCAGCTGACTTTTAGTGGGTTTTCTGCAGATCGTTTTTGCCCACAGCGACTGAGTCCTCAGAAGATTTCACGTAAACGACCACAAATCAAACCTACAAAAGGCGGCGTATTTACCGCTAATGGGGCAGGAGAAAAAAATCAGCAATAAGAAGCCGAATCAGAGGCAGAGATGCGTGCTGTGCTTCAAGCAAATAAATTCAAAATAAATAAAATAATAATAAGAAAAAGCACTTTGCTGGAATTAAAGAAGAATCTGTGATAGACGCTATTCGGTGTTACTTTCACCCGATGCTGCGAACTTCCTGCTCTAGAAGAAGCGTGCAGGGAGTCCGTCTGTAACAAGCTGACTTGTTAGACACGTTCGTGCACTTGCGGCTTAACTTCTGTCCGTGCAGGTATCCTTTGAGAAGTGATCCTCTTACAGCTTACTTTTAAACCCCACCCTTATTCTCAAAAGCTTTTACAAACATGGAATCTTTTTCTCTTTTTTTGCCTTGTGAAAATTTAATCTGCAATCTCTCTGAAAGAAAACAGAGACTATACACACACACACACACACACACACACACACACACACACACACACACACACATATATATGTGCTAATATTTACTTCTCCTCTGGCTTCCAATTGTTCAATCAATCAAGGTTTTGTTTTAGGTTTGTAAAAATTTGCATGTGATTTTGTCCTTTGAAAATATTAATTTGCATACCTCTGTCAGTGTAAATGTGTTTGTACTTATATTAATTTCTACTCGGTGCTCACACACCCCACACACACGATGAGGGATCTGTCAGCAGCAGTCTGAGGTTCAGTATTTTTGCCCGGGGACGCTCCGACCTCTCGATTAGAAGACGGCTAGATCTTCATCCTGGAAGCTTCCTGATTTCGTGTCGGGTGGTGTTCTCCAGTCTCTCAGTGTAACGGTGTGCACTCACGCTAAACGGACAAGGAGGAAGCAAAAAATAAAGTCTTAATGTGCCTAATATAATACAAATATAATATTATAATCTGCACTAACTGAATAAAATACAAACCCTAACCCTCACAAAAAAGGTGATTTTTGGGGGGAGTGGGCTTTTGAAAATTATTCTTCTCAGTCTTTGCAATCAGGGAACTAAAACAAATTATTATTTATATTATTTTTTACATTTACACCCCCTAAAAAAAAATCAGATGCCATTTGTCTCAGACATGGTTGGGATTAGGGTCACACACTGAGGATTACAGGTGTGCTACAACCCACT